ACCAGGACCGTTCGGCAGAGGGAGGCCCCCATTCCCTAATTTCCAGGGTGGAAGGCAGGCACCTGGCTTCACCGCCCTTCCAGATGGGTAAATCCGCAAAAGAAGATCAGCGAGTTATTAGGAAAGATTGAGGTTGACACCGAAAAGACTGATTGGCTGTGAAATTTGCGTTCTAATTCGTGAAGTTATTTAGGAATAGTGATATTGGGTAAGGGAAACTGAAAGGACCTCTTTTTGTTGTTTGCAACTAGTGTTTGAACATCTTTTGCACGACTGACTCATAGTTATGTAAGCACTGCTCCAAACCCTGGCTGGTCTGCAGGCTCATTTTTACCTTCCCCGTGGGGCAGCTGAATACTGGGTATGAAAAGACACCCATCCTACCCTAGCTCTGATCCCTGGAACCAATGCGTGATGCCGTCCCTGGCAAGACAGACGTTGCAGATGTGATTAGGCTGATGATCTTGTGAGAGCAAGGTCCTTAGAAGGAAAGGTGTCCTTGGAAGTGGCAAGCAAGTCATTGATGGTAGAATAAAGAAAGTGGAATGATGGAATGCAGTGCTGACCCGAATGATGGCGCTTTGAAGACGGAGAACAGTGGCCATAAAGGCCATTGTGGTTTCTAGAAGCTAGAGAAAAAGGGCAAGGAAATGGTCCTTTCCTAGAGTCTCCAGAAGGAAGCGTGGTCTGCTAACTTCTTAACTTTAGCTCACTTAAGCTAATTTCAGCCCCCTGACCTCCAGAGCAGTAGGGTGATAAATTTGCATTACTGTAAGCTACCAAGTTGGAGGTAATTTTAATAGCAGCCATAGCGAAACTAGTCCAGTCAGTTTATCTGATCTTGGAGCCTCCTTCCAAAAGCGTGCTGTGGGTAGCAGGTGGGATGAAAGTCCTCGTTCTAGAAGATGCCGTAAAAGTGTGTACCTCATTCTGGAGGAGCAAATCACAGCTGCCAAGTTAGCAAACGTGGTGGTAAAACAGGAAATGAGACCGTGGACGGACAAGATTCTGCTCCAAGAGTTTCCAATGCTCTGGGTAAGTCACAATGTTGACATTTCTCATACACCGTGCCACGATCAAATGGAAATTCCCATTAAAATGAAGCAGTTTTGAAAGAAAGAACTCAAAGAGCACTCTGAACAGTAAATGTAAAAGATACTAATCAATTTTAATAGAGCCGTCTCAGTCATTTTGGGAGTATTATGTAACAAGTAAAGTGATAATTTCTAGAACTGTAGCTTCAGCCTGGACTTCTCTGTTATGTGTCAAATTTGTAAATTACAAAGACCGAACAGTTTTACAGACTCCCTCAGTTTAACGGGCCCAAATTACACCCATCAGCTTCTGCCCTTTCTGTTCAAATGTGTTCTGCTTCCTGGTAGATAAACTCACAGCAGTGTCATCCACCAGGGCCCCACTTCTAGAAACCCACGTGTCGTCTTTGACGTCCGTTCTCCTTGGTCACCACACACTGTGGACATCCCCTACCGTCTCAGGGGGCCTGGAAACCTGTTTCCATTTCAGTCTGGCCCGCATCCTCTCTCCTCCAAGCTATTATAACATCTTCCTAGTTTTTTCTCTTCTCCAGTTTTACATTTTCTTCATTGCAACAACAGTGAAGATGTTGTTTTATAGTGATAACAATTGCTATGAAAATGCAGTGCTGACCATCTTATACCAGTACCTTCATAGCCTTAATGATGGCCCAGGGGCGGAGCTCACTGGTAGAGTGCTTGCTGAGCATGAATAAAGTCCTGAATTCCATCCCTAGCATTGCAAAAAACAAAAACCAAACCAAAACCAAAAAGACCTTAAAGAACAGCCAGCAGTTATAAAGTCTTTTGCTCCCGTGATCTGTGCATCATGCGTCAGTAAATCAAACTACATGCATGCATGCCACATACTCCACAAAACATCACTGTCTCACACTTCCCTCTCTATCCTGTTGTTCTCGCTCCTCCCTTTTCTCTACCTCTCTCCTCTCTTTCTACTTGTGTTGGCCAGTATTTATTTAACTTGCAGTGCTGACTTCAGGAAACCTCTTGCCCAAATCATCAGTTGGTTTAAGGCTCGACAGATCCTTGTCACACCTGCCACTATCTTGTGTCTTAACCACTTTGCATTGAATCTTCATTGATGTTTTGCATTGAATCTGCATTGATGCTTTAGAGAACACATCTGCACAGGGCCAGAGATTTAGCTCATTGGTGCTGCCGCCACCTCGCAAGCGAAAGGTCCTGAGTTTTATCCCCACAAAGAGACTATATCTACATCAATTTGAGTCTCAATATCTAGCATCATAATTGTCTCTCAATAGATAATACATATTTTATGGAATTCAATTCATCTGAACTTTAAAAAATTTAATGGTCAGTATATATCTAAATATCATTTAATAGAAACCTACGTTTAATACAGTATCACCTGTGACCAAATTTTAAAAACCATCCTCATCAAGTTTAATAAATGGGGAGATTCTTTGCTTGTGCTAATCCAAAACAAAAAAATTGAGAAATATATGAAGGCATTCTATCAATTTTCATTTTTTTAAGTTTATCCAGTGAAATACAATCTTTTTGTTTCTAATGCTTTTTAGTGAACATCTTTGCTTTATTTTTTAACCTCTTTTATTAAGTACATTAATGCTGGAATATAGAGGACTGACCTCTAGCCCATTTATGTTATCCCTTGTCATTCTTGTTTACTGATGAATCTATGTACATTGTCTCATCCTTCCACCCTCACTCTTCTGTCTGTTAGAATGATGCTTGGGTCCTGCACATCTCAATTTGGCTTTGTTCTGATAAAAATGGTCTGATTTTCCCAACAAATGAAACCATGATAATTCCTATTTTCTTGATTTCTATGTATAATTTTTAACCTATTGGTAACTGATTTAAAAAGAAAAAACAATTTCACCAGAAATATCCATGATTTCTCTGTGTCCTCATCTTCCTTCTTTTCCAACTACCTCTGAAGTTGCTCCCAGTGGTGCTGAGGCCATTGATGAGATGGCAGGGGAGAGATTTCTCATGATGAAGACCTGGAGGGTCTCTCTGACACCTCACAGAGCCCAACACTGGAGTGGTGGGGAGGAAACCCAGGCAGGCATTGGCATAAAAAGCAAAGAATGGGAGAATTTTAGGAGGTGAGACCAGCTGATGCTGAATTTCAAGCTAGCATTTCTGCGACACAAGTTCAGTGCCACAAGCTAAAGGGGATATCGTCCATCTACCATTAGTACCTTTTCCCATCATCTCTCCATTGACAGTTGTTGGTTTGACCCTATACTGTTACAATTCCTGGAGACTCAATAGTGATTTTCCATGTCGGTAGTCACAGATTGCATGTGATAATGCTGAAGGTGGAAATACAGAAGCCATTCTGAAACTCTTCTTCCCACCTTAGCAGCATGTCTAATTCATTCCCAAGCCTTACCACCCTCCTAGAGCAATGAGTTGTCTACTTTATTGCTTAAAATTTATCAGGAGATCCTTCTTGTCTTCAAAATACAATTGAAAATTTTAGGTCTGACAGTCAAAGACTTTCACAATCTGACTACATTATCAAAGTAATTCATTGAAGGGATGTGACTTTGCACATGTTGGGAAACTACATTAAGAATTTCATTAAAATACTTTTAACAAATTGGAAACAGTTTGTGATTAAAACAAATATACATGAAAGAATCCAAGAACAATAAGTATGGAAAAAGTAAGCATGTTCACTCATATATTCTAAGCATTGTTGCTGTTACGTGGCCCTGTGCAGCTGTATACCAGCACAGAAGGTAGAAAAAGACAGAGAAAGAAGCAGAATACCTTGGTAACTAACAAGAATAAATTAGTTGATAGTTGTATAAACTGGGAAAAATGACTTTGTCCAAATTTTTGTGTCAAGAAGTGTTGCATTAAAAAAAACTCCTTTAAGCATTTTAATTTAGCAAGACATTTTAGCCATTCAAGAAATCTTGCATAATCATGTAGTATTCTAATTTTTCCAGAGACATAAATATTCTCAACAGACTACATTAACTGAAGTTGTTCAAAACATATAATAGGATTAGTCTTCGATCTTTAATGTTGCACGTAATATATCCAGCCAACTGGAAGAATAATTTCATTATTAATCAATAATTTGTTTTGCATTGCACATCATTTGACTGCCCATCTTTTTCAATTCCAGTTCACATTTCTGATCATCTTGTGAGGTGGACGTATCCCTGGTCTGTTGGTGGGGAGATGCCCCTTTACACCTGACCTTCATTAAAGCGAATCTAGATTAAAGAGGAATTCATTATCCTGGAATGACCTAAAATCAACATGAAACAATCCTTGAACCAGCAATGAGCAGCGCACAGTGATATAGAGATTTATTTTGTTTTTATTGTTGTGTGCAGCAGGCTTGAAGGGAAGTATCTTCCTTTGTCACTGGAAGAATGTGTAGTTTGGGAAAATCAGAAGTGAATTTCTACTGATTGCATGAATAGCTGGATAAACAATACATAAAGAATTCTATGAATGAGTTACAGTCTCCTAAAAATCAGCTTCTTCCAATACAAATTTGAAGAAGTTACAGTGTATTGAATTCTCAGAAGCTCAGCTTCCAGACATGTATTATTAATATTGATACAACCACGCTAACACATTGTTAAGGCACACTTAAAAAGTAAAATGTGTGTGCATTCACACTTGGGGCACTAGAAAGATTGAAGTAGGTTTCCTTGGGATTACTTAAGAGATGTTATTTCTATTTTTCATTCTTTCAAAAAATAACCAACCAGGCTGGGGATTTAGCTCAGTGGTTCAGTGGCCTGCCTTGAAAGCGCAAGGACCCAAGTTCAATCCCCGGTACCAAAACAAAAAAAACAACCATAGTATGTTTCTACTCTATTCATTACCAGGGGGTTTCTAGGGGAGGAGCAAAAGACAAGGTACGTGTTCTATCCCTAATTCATTCTAAAGTAGCAATCGAAGGCATCATATTGGTAAAATGTACAGTCCAAGGCTTGTTGGAAAGAAATGCTAGCTGATGGTGATATTCATGATGATGTTGATTATTTCAGTTTTGTAAGCATAAGTACTTAGAGTGATAACCCTTCATTTACAGCAACCTGAGCTCTCTGAACTAAAGCTCCCACATGGGCTCTGTACAGCAAATGGATATGACTAAGGTTAAATCTCAGGACTCCTCAGTCTACCTCAAGCCATTCCTGATTTACCTGGGGACGGTGGCACACGAATGCTGTCTGTTCACCCTGTCTCACTCTGGAGCCCTTCCTGCGCACACAGGTAATCTGATTTCCCAGACCTCCTTAGAGTGATTGCCGTACGATTGTGTTCTTTGTCGAGAACCATAAAGCTGAGTTTTGGGGAGTTATTGAGTAAAGGGCAAGAGTTATTTATCCAACACAGTGAAGCACAGAGTGAAAAAAATTTAAAGTTTCTACTGTGTACCTGACTTTGCACATATAGCATTTTATTTATTCTCCTATATATTAGCCACTGAGAGCTCCATCTCAGGAGGGGGAAGCTAGTCCGTGAGTTGAATAAATTTCCCGAGATCCACAACCAGTAACCGACAGAGTCAGAATGTGAAGCTGAGTTAATTGGCCTCAAAGGTTCTATCTTCACATCTCTCCTGTAATATTTGGTTGATTTTTTAGCAGCTGAATAATAAAGCTTCCATTTATGATAGATTTAAAGCAATAAACAAAAAACAGAAATGTTGACAATTAAAATCACAGGTAGTAGCAAAAAAAGATAAAATAGAATTATGTAAGCTATAGAAGCCTAGGGACATTTGTGTGGATAAACAGGCCCAACTAACTTGAGAGATGCTGACATATTCTATTCTATGGCACTAAAGTGGCCTGATAATAATTATCTTCAGTAAGCAAGAAAGCATTGATTTTATTTCTATATAGTATTTAGATGCAGAAGACTAAGAAGAAGGGTGGATATTCCCCACATATTTTTTAACGTGGCAAAAAAGTATTTATTATTTATCACTGATGAGCTGCGTATTCATTCAGCATTGATTACCTATAGCATTGTCATAGATGAGCTTTATCAGGTCCAGAAGTTTCTTTCCATTGCTAGCTTGCAGCAGAGGGGTATTGTATTTGGTCAGTGATGGGTGTTGTGTTTTGTCAAATGATTTTTTTGCATCTATTGACTTGATCATATATTATTTTTCTTGTCTTAAATCTGTTAGTGCTTAATTACAGTGAATGGCTTTGGAATGTTAAACCAGACCTGCTGGCCTCATGGAGTGAGTCAGTTGCTGTGTTGTAAGAGTTTGGATAAAATTGTATTATGTCTTGTCTAAGTGTTTGGCTGTGAAGTCATCTGGGCCTGGGGATTTTTTTTTAAAAAAAGAAACTTGTAAAGACTCCAGTTACTTTAGCAGATAGCAGGATAGGTAGGTTATCACTTCTTGTTTCATATTTAGTAATGTGATTGATTCAACTTGCCTACATTTTCAAATTTATTGACAGAAAATAGTTCCTAATATTCTTTTATCAATCTCTTGAAGTCTGTACAATCTGTAGTGGTCATAACCTTCATTGCCAGTGGTGGTAACTTGTGTCTGTTCTTTTCATTCATGATCAGTTTGGTTAGAAAACTACCGATATGACCAACAATAGATAAATGGGTAAAGAAACTAGTATTTATACACAATGCAGTATCACTCAGCCACAAAGAAGGATAAACCTGAGGCATTTATTTGTAGGAAAATGCATTTACCTTGAGACTATAATTTTAAGTGAAATGACTCAGACACACAAGATTAAACATTGCTCAGTTGCTCTTACATAAGAAACCAAAACATATAAGAGAAAATAAAAGATATATAATAGGAAATAGGGAGACGTTTTTCAAATGAGAAGGGCACCCCTGCAAGGATAAGAAATGGTAGACTAGAGATCCCTCCCTTGGCCTCTCATCACCTCACACCTGCCCCTTTTCAGCAGGAAGTAGCGGTAGAGAGGATGTAAGGTAAGTGCTTTGGAATGGCGGCCGCCATTCTGATAAGTAACCTCCTTCTTCCCCTTAAAGTTTCCACGTCCTACCTCACACGTCACCGGTCGTAAAACTGGCTTGGGAACAAGGCTAGAAATTAAATGTCCGAGAGTGGCCCCTGAGTGGCTGCCCGTGCAGCCGCAACGATCTCTGACCGCCCACACCAATCACCCACTGTATAACCAAGCCCCTTCCCGCCTCTCCCTCTCTCTCTCCCCCTCCCCCCTGTTCTCTCTCCTTTTGTTCCCTTTCTGCCGAGAGGGCCACCATGCCACCTTGGCTCTTTAATAAAGATCTTTCATACGAACAACAACAACAAAAAGATAAAAGCAATAGCGAGGGATGGGAAGGGAAGGAACCAAAAACAAAGAATTAAAAAGGGCTATGTCCAGGCACAAAAATGTAATCATTTTGTGCTGTAAGCATGTACTAATTTTAAAAAAAAGAAAAATATTTCTCAGGGCATAGACTTTTAGCTTGGCAGTTTTTCCTTCATTGTTGAAAAGCCATTGTCCTGATTTCTGACTGAGGTGGTTTCGTACAAGATGTCTACTGTCATTCTTTTCTTGGTTCTTATCAGCGTGTGTTTTCCTGGCTATTTTTGTTGTTTGTTTCAGATTTTTTCTTTCTTGCTGGCCTTTAGCAAATGTAAATATGAGTGATGTGCCTGGATGGAGACGTCTTCAAGCTTACTGTTCTTGAAGTTCATTGGGTTGCTTGGATCTGGGTTTTGATCATTGCCATCAAGTTTAAAAATTTTTCAGCATTATGCTTGCCTCTTCCTAATTTTTAGAGACTCCAATTCTGGGAATATTTTGGTACTTGTGTTAGCTCTACTGTTCATGACTGGTCTATTCATTTTTCCCTCTTTGTATTCTCATCTATTGTGTGGGCATCATCCTCTTCTCCTACAAAGTCTGATCTATTGTGAATCCAGTCAATGATTTTTTTTTTAATGTCATACATTGTAGTTTAATTTAAAAGAAGTTCATTTAAATTCCCACAGTGAGACACGCTTATGCTCAGCTCTGTCAGCAACCAAACAAGAATAACCCAGGCCTGGGTATGACTGTATGGTTGACGGGGACACAGGGTGGAGGCACCGTGGCAGTCACATTTGATAAGGCGCCATTGTCAAGCCATGACATCCGGCCCTGACCTTGAGTATGCACTGACTGCAGCACATGCAGCTTTCTCCCTCCTCTCCCTCCTGCTGCTGCTTTTCTCAGCTCATGCCCAAGCATCTTACAGAGTGCTCATTCATAGTAGACACAAAATAAACACCTTTGGAATGACCAAATGAGCTTGTTAGTAATTCTGCCCCCAACTGTGGTGATGGCCCTCCCTGAACCCAGTGTACAGACTACTTTGTTATTCCTCCAATATTCCACGTGAACTAATGTTCTCTGGGCATCTGCCCAGAAAGCTGGACTATGCCAGGTACCGAGGGGATCCATAGAAGGGAAGGACTTAATCGATGACCTCACAGAATCTGCGTCTAGACAGAAGGAGAATTAGGGACAGCCTGATGTGACACCCGTGATATAGCGCAGTGATGTATGTAAATAGGATAAGCCTATAAAAGGACTGCTTTGGTGAGAGTGAGTAATGCCATTAAATAGAAAAGCCTCCTTCAGAGTTGCAGGACAATAATCTGTATGAAGTAAGCTCTAAATAAATGTTGCTGGTTTACCAGAAATTTAATAATTTTCACTTAGTTCTATGATACATGGAGGGATTTTCTCCTATGGAAAAGATTTTGTGTTATTTGGCTTTCTTCTATTCCTGGCTCATTTTACCAAACATAATGATCTTCAGTTCTGTCCACATTGTTGCAAATGTTAGGATTCCATCTATTCTTATGGCTAAAGAAAAAAGGATTTTGGATGTTTTCACCATACAGAAATGATAAGTGTTTGAAAAAGTAGATGTATTTAACTGGGTTCACATAGTTTGCAGTATAGACATGTATTGAAACATCACATGGACCTCAAAATGTGTAATTTTTTATGGTTTTTTGTATTGATTAACTTTTAAACAAATTTTAAAGATTCTGTGAAAAATTAACGGAGTGCAGTTCATCATGCTTTAGAAAGGTAGCTCCCCTTTCCTCCTTTCTTGACCCCCTGACCACTTGGTTTTGGATGAGGCACACAGGTTGGGGCCCCTGGCAGAGATTTATGCTCCTCACAATTACTTGAAGGTATTAAATTAAAGCAAAGGAGGAATTTATTTCCTCCTTTCTGATCGATAATATCCAAGTTCAGAATAATGAGTTGGTCCCCATAAATACTGCACAGAATTTAGACTTCAGCAGCATGCTTGTGATAGGGATTGCAATACAGCACAGGCATCCAGAGAGAGATGTCAGGTAGAAGTGTGAACATTTCATGTTTCAAAAGCTCAGCTCTTGAAGTTTTCTTTCACAGTATAACACCTCTTTGTCTGTTCACCATCGGAATGTTCAGCTGTCTTCAACACCTCAGGGAAACGAGAGGCTGGGTTGTGGAGGTGTGAAAGTCACTTTCTCTCGTCCCCAACATGCGTTTGCACGGCGATGGAACACCAGGAAGTCAGCTTCCAGTGCCACTCGCCCTCGCTCTGATAGAGCTGGCAGTACAGGCCTCAGAGATGTCTCAGTCAAGGACAAGTGCCACTGAGAACAGCAGCCACCACAGACACAACAATGAAACCACCCGCCATCAGGCACCAGCCAGGAAGAGAGAAATGGAGAGTTTGTAAAGCAATGATGTTTACAGCTCACTTCCTGTGAAATAAAGTTCTGCGAAATGGTCACCTTGTTTGCTCTTTATGGGGAACAGAAAAAGAAAAATACGAGAAAAGCAACAGCAGCAGAGGAACTTCTGAAGATCTTTCTGCTTCTGAGGTGACCTTGGTAAGACAAACCGTGAAGTACAGGGAAACATATTTCCTACTGGAAGTGGTAGCTGGACTGGCCTTGGCCCAAGGAACTTCTGAATGGGTTTGGCATTACAACTATGAGTTGAAATCATTTGAGCAGATACTTTTTCTCTTTTTTCATTTTTTGAGAGTGGAGGGGCTGTAGGGAAAATTAAGCATCAAAATGCCCTTTGAGAAAGTATAAAAGAGCATAGTTTCAAATTGTAAAATATTCTGAGGAAATATACTGTTTTGTAATGTTCTGTTGAACAGAACTTCTGAGAGATCAGGTTTAATTTTTTAAATCCTACTTTATTTATACTGTCACGAATAAGTATAAAGTGTAGAATCTGTGTGCTTGCTTATTACAGCACCATCACATTCCCGTGCATGTTTACGCCAGCAGCAAACATGTTGCAGCCCTGCCCTACTCCACAGACTTCTTACCAAAGCCCACACAGAGAACCAAAGGTCAAGAGTTAAGTAGCATACACTGTGTGGATGAAGTGATTCACCACACTGCACTAGAGGCCACATGGACAGTCAGACATCTCCACCATGTCTCTGCTTTTAGCTCTTCAAGTGGCACTCAAGCACACAGCAAGGCATTTGATGCTACTGGTCTATAACCCAAGGAGCCCCCTAACCCTCCCCAGACAGTCTGCTAGTCTCATACCCTGGTAAGTTGGGACAGATGTGGCTCCTTGTAGTACTTTGTCCCCCTCCGTGGCTGCCAGGGTATTTCAAATCCTGCTGTAGACCAGGGTCTGGGGATAGCTTCCCCTCCCAGCCAGGGTTACTTGCCCTATTATTTTCCTTTCTGTTCAAAAGGGGCTCGGGGGGACTAGGGATTTAACTCAGTGGTTCCACTGCCTGCCTTCCAAGTGCAAGGACCTGAGTTCGATCCCCTGTAACAAAAAAAAAAGGACAGAAGGGGCTCGGAAACTTAAATATCATTTGGTTTCTTTTATTTGAGAAACCCAATGCATAAATTAAGAAGCAAAAACGAGATAGATCTTTTGCATATGGCAAGAGGAGCAAGACATGGAGGGATAGGTGAGGAAAGGAACATAAAAAGAATTAAAATGTGTTATACACATGTACTCACTCCCCATAATGAATAGAATCACTATGTAATGCAAACATATACTAATTAAAAAGATTTTTTAAAAATATGAAAGGCATAAGGATGCAAAAAACAAGGACAGATAAGGGGCTTATTCATTTATGAGGAGGACTAGTTCTTTGTCCTTGCAAAACACTGGCTTTGGAGAAATCACCAAACAGAGGCTAGAGAGCAAGCAGGATCAGAGTTTTGTGGGGGGAACTAAGTAAATGCAGTGAATGATTTTGAGATTTCATAAATTAGTGTGTGAAATAGCAGTGGGAGGGACGGGGATTTAGCTCAGTGATTCTGCCACCTGCCTCGCAGGTGTAAAGCCCCGAGTTTGATCCCTGGCACCAAAAAAAAAAAAAAAAAAA